TTCTCCAGGTAGTCAGGGAAGACCTCACCAAAGATGTGACATTTAGCCTAATTTCAGAAGGTGATACTAACTAACTAGGTTATGGGGGTAGAGAGGGCACTGAGGTAGAAAAAAAGCTTGGTGTAGAAAAGCCAAAAGGAGATGAAGGGGGCTAGAGTCAGCAAAGAGAGCACAAATGGCATTAAGTGCAGTATGAGAAGGTGCCAACAGCAGGATGGCATAGGATCTGCTAGGTCCCTCCCTGCTGGGGGTGTGGATTTAACTGCATTAACCTAAGATCTGTGACCAGCCTGTGGACAGCATTGAAAATAATACACCAGAAATGCAATGGGAAGACACTGATGAGTTTGCAGTGATGACTTGGGGAATGGCATGACTGGATTTTGACTTTTTAAAAATCGCTCCAGCTGACACATCCCTGGAGATCAAAGGTGGGGCAGTAGAAATGGAGATTACTGCTGGACAGGCAATTGCAGGCAATAGTAAACTAAACCTAGGTAGAAACAGTGAAGATGGAAAAAGTCAGAATATAGGTGTGGAGATGACATGTTTTTCTGATGGATTTGATGGATGTGAAGAAAAGAGGGAAGGGAAAACTCAAGGATAATCCTTAGGTTCCTAGTTTAAATGGATGATTGGACAGAATGCCACCTATAGATCTGAGGAGGCTAGGAAAGAAAAGTGTTGGGTGGTACATTCGCTTTTAGTGCTGCTGCAACAAATCATAACGATCTTAGTAGATTTAAACAATATGGATGTATTATTTTACAACAATTCTGAGGTCAGAAATCCTAAAGGGGTCTTGTAAGGCTAACATCAAGGAGTGGGCAAAGCTTTGTTCTTCCTTAAGCACTAGGGGACAATCTGTGTCCTTGCCTTCTCGGTGTCTAGAGCTTACCTGCACGGTCTGGCTCAGGCTGTCTTCCGTCCTCAAAGTTAGCAATGGTTGGCCAAGTCTTTCTCACACCACTTTATTTGACTTTACTCTCCTACCTCCTTCTTACTTACAAAGATCCCTGTGACTACATTAAGTTCACCTAGATAGTCCAAATGAATCTCTCCATGCTAAAGTGCATTATTAGCAATGTTAATTCCATCTGCAGCCTTAATTTTCCCTTGCCAATATAACATATTCACAAACTTCAGGGATTATGACATGAACATCTTGCCAGGTGGGATGTAAGAACGTTATTCCTCTTACCACATGTCGGAAGAACATGTGTGTCTAGACAAGTTAAATTTGAGGTATGAGTGGGTCAACCACATAGGAATTTGTAGTGCGGGTCATTCTGTATGTGAGTCTGAAGCTCAAGGAACATTAGAACTCAATTTGGTACTTCAGCATGGAGCTGGTTTACAAAGCTATCAGTGTATAAGGCATCACTGAAGAAGAGACAGAGCCTAGCAAACTTCTGCAGTTAGAAAGGAGGGGAGAGCCAATAAAGAAACAGAGAAAGAACAGCCAGAGAAATGGGATAAAAAGCAAAGTAGTGTCCTGTCTTGACAGTTCAGAGGAGAGACTTCAAAAAGGGAGGATGGCGGTTAGCCCAGGTGAACTGTGGCATTTACAGATTTGTCAACAAAAGTTTGGAACCTTAACACAAGCTGTTTCAATAAGGTGGTGAGGAAAAAACCAAAACTGCTGAAGGGAAAGGAGTAGGGGACCTGACTATGACCAGAGGGGATCAAGTCCTCTATGACCTATGTAACCTCAGCAGCATTTGGATATTTGTGTATGCTTGGTAGAAATGATGGAGCAGTCACATTTGATCATGGTCTTTTCAACAAGAAGCCAGGTGCTATGCAAGATCACCACTGTGTATTGACGTCCAGCCCAAATTGTGTAAAGGCTCAATTGATACCTAAAAGGAGTACAGATGTCAGTGAGTTCCTGTCACTGCGCTCTGTGTATAAAGCAGACACCAAAGGTAAACAGGAACAATAAAACGCCACCACCTTCCTGAATGTATCCCAGGAAATCCCGTAGCACCAAGGAGCAGAAGCTGCTTAGGAAACAAACAAACAAAAAACCCAAAAAACAAAACAAAACAAAAAAACAACAGAATATTCTTTAACAAGATTCAAAACTTATCTTTATATTAAAGAATCTGTTCTTCTGCTTTTGGGGTTTTCTGAAGATTCTTAGGGGAGGACGGGGCTACCACCTTCCCGTACTGTGAATTATCAAAGGGCCCAATGCTGCAAAACAATATGCTTTGTTAGCTAGTGATTCCCCCTTGCTTCTTATCCGCATGGGACCATACCCTTTAGGAGAAGATAGTTGAAAGTTTCTTTAGCTCACCCCATCCTCTGCTCTCTGTACTGGATTTGAGTCCTGTAGAAGGAACAGGAACTTTCAGAGCAAGAAGATTAAAATGCTAAAGCCAACAGTTTCCTTACGATTATTATTGTCAAATTAAAATAAATAAGGAAATTTTAAGAATCATGAGGAAATAACCAAGGTATTTATTCCCTTACATCTTAATCTTATACTATAAACAAATTTAATTTCAAGTATATCATAGACCTAAACATGATGCTCAAACTATATAGTTTTGATAGGCAAAAATTTCTTAGAAAGGACACATGAAATAATAACTGTAAAAATATTGATAAATATACTCAGCCAAAATTTAAAACTTGTGTTCATTAAGAGAAGAGCCAAGCATAGTCGTGTGCGCTTGTGGTCCAAGTTATTCAGAAGGTTAAGGCAAGAGGATACCTTCAGGTACAGAGTTTAAGACCAGCCTGGGTGACATAACCCTGCGAAAATGAATACATAAACCACAGACTAAGAAATCATGTCTGACAGAAAACTTGAATCCAAAATATACAAAGCACTCAATAACAAAAGAAACTAATTTTAAACGAACAGAAAGCCTTAATCTTTAATAATTGTCTGCTTCACTGAATCACATAGTTTTCATTTCATGGAATTAATAGCTTTTAAAAAATAGTAAAAGAAGTGGAGAAAGTTGATTTAAACACAAGGTAAGATGCTTACACATTAAAGGCTAGGCTAAGTACCACCTGGTGGCAGAAAATTTGAATTGCAGCTAGAATTTGTTAACGTTTTTTGTTTTGGGTTTTTGGGGGTAAAGATAAGTTTTGGATTGAATCAGCAAAAAGAGACTTGTAAACAATAAGATGACAGCCGTATTAGAGTATACATAATAAAATAGAACCAAAAGAGCAGAATCTATTTGGTTATTTTTGTACTGAAAATACTAATTATGAGTCAAGGAAGGTCGTTGATATTATGCCAAATATATTTGTGTGTGTATATGCTATCATTTCAATTGGAAATTAACACAATAAATAGAAGTGGATTGTTTAAATGCTAGGTATTTAATATGTACGATTGCATTTAATCTTCCAAAGAACTCTGAAGTACAGACCCTCCTCACGGAATATTGTTGTGGTTAACATTTTCCAACAGAAAAATCACTTTTTTGTTTTGTTTTGTTTTTTGGCAGTACTAGAAATTGAACAAAGGGCCTGCATTTGTGAGGCCCCCAAGCCCCGCCCCCTTTTGCGACATGATCGTGCTAAATCGCTAAGTTCTCACGTAGCCTAGAACATATGATAGCTCCACAGCCTCCCAGACTACTAGAATTGCAGGGAGGAGCCATTGAACCTGGCTAAGAAAATCATTTCATTTTTAATAACCTTAAGGATGGGGATGTAGCTCAGTGGCACCGCGCCTGCCTGACAAGTGCAAGGTTCTGAGTTCAATCCCTAATACTAGGGGAAAAAACAAAAGGTATCTTCGAGGGATGGGGATTTAGCTCAGTGGTTCCGCTGCCTGCTTCGAAAGCACAAGGTCCCAAGTTTGATCCCTGGTAGCCACCCCATCCCCCCGCAAAAAAAAAACAAAAAAAAAACCAAACCTTAGAGAACAGATCTCTCAGTATATTTCTGTGAGTCTTTTCCAAAATAAAAGGGGAGAAAAACCAAGGAAAAAGATACAAAGTCAGTGAGGAAAGTTTATAATGGGAGAGAAGATATTACTTAATTGAAGCAAACCTTAGTAACATTTAAGCAACTTATAACTTCACATCATTTTTTGTTTTATATACACACCTGTGAATGTTACTGCATTTTAGGTAAGTTTTACGAAGTTGTTACAGACCTTATCCTGCATTATATGTGCTTGGCAGCACATGTAATAATAATGCCTTATATTTTTTCATATGACAAATAATGAAAATTAAACAATATTAGGTTGTAAATTGCTTTAAATATCTCTCTAAAAGTGGAAGGGGAGCAAAATGACATCAAATACAGAGAAAAGGCAGATGGAAGACCATGTGATCATTCTTAAAGATACTACTTAAAAGTGGCTTCTGTCATTTTCCCCATGCTCTCTTGGCCAAAGCAAGTCACAAGCTAAGGCTGATGGCAGTAGAGCAAGGGAATATAATCCTCTTACAAAACAGCCTACAAGTGCAGAATATAATCTCTCCTATACAAGAAGAGCAGCAAGTGAGAATAGAAACAGAAGTGAAGTCAGCAACATACAGGATCTGCCACAGGACACACACACACACACACACACACACACACACACGCGCGCCCGCGCACAACCTTTTTATTTTCAGAACATTTCACAAGCCAGGTATCCACATTATTTGAGAAATGTACTCTTGAACCACACCAGTCTCCCTTTAATGAAATAACCTATAGAAAATCCTGATATAAAATAGCCTTTAATTCTGTGTTACAGACAATTAATAGAAATCTCTTGTCATACATTAAAATACACGTATCACATTTTGGTCCTTTTCACTTCTCCATACATGTATATGTATCATTTCCTCATGATTACTGTATTTATTGTAGATTGTAAACATATACTAATTTAAAAGGAAATCATTTTTTAAAATCCACTGTTATATCAAAGTGATATACATAATCAAGGTATATTTTTAAACCAGGAGAATTTCAGAAAATATCCTCACATTTTGTTATTGAAGTTCTTTTCTTTTGTTCTGAATCAGGTGCTATCATACCATGCAACATGTTCAAAAGCTGAAGTTGACAAGTTTAAGGTAAGGAGGAAATTGCTGTACTATCACTGCATGGAATTAAAGTTGGCCTGGCTAGCTGACCTGTTCTTACTTGCCTTTATAGTCCTTCCCTGTGGGAGGAGGGGGAATAAAGCAGACTAGAGTGTGTTGGGTTTTTACATTTCAGAGGGGAAGAGAGAGTCCTTTCTGGACCATTTAAACGATTCAGCATTTCTTCCTATTTGTTAGGTAAGCAATACATCAGGGAAAAAATTGAGAGATTGAGATAGTAATAGCTAACTTTTACCAACTGTTTACCTACTGTGTGCCAGGGACGATATAAGACGCTTTACCTGTACTAATTCGCTTAATCCTTACAACTTTGTGAAATACTGTACAAACTATTTTACAAGTAAGTAAACTGAGGCATGCCAGTGCTGCCTAGCCAGGCTGAACTATAAGGAGAATAGCAATCTGGCCCCAGAAGTGGTCGTAACCACCTGCTGTGTCGCCCAGGGTGACCTCCTGGCTCTAATATCTGCTGAGTCTATGAATGAGTCTTAAGATATTCTTTTTCAACTTAGTCAGTACTGTTTCCTTAAATGCAGTTTAGAATTCATGCTTATCTCCCTGCACTCTGACCAGGTAGGTTTTATTAGTGGTCAAAATATAATATAAGGAAATTTATTTTCCTCTCCTTCAAAATATTGTGTCTGCATAAGATCATGTTTCATATTGTAATGTTAATACATAGTATCACTTGATGATAGCTATTCTTCCATGCATCTCATTTGCACATAAATACATTCATCTTCCTAGGAAAAAAAATAGCAGAGAGTTTGAACTTGTTAATTCAATCACTGGAATTGAGTCATATGAACAACAGAAGGGAACAAACAAGAGCTCGAACACTGAGAGTAGGGGTAGAAGAATTCCTCAGAAGGCCAAGGAGCAGCGCCTATAGCAGGCATGTGATGATCTGCTTCTGCAGCTCCATTCGGGGTTGTGGTTAGACAGACGCTTACGTAAAAGAACTGCAGTGGAAGCCCAGATCAGGAGAGGCAATGCCGGTGACCGCTGACATCAGAGGAGGGAGACAGAGCAACCCAGACCACACCGGTCAGGGCCTGTATCCTGCATGCTCTTTTCATCTGTTTTCTGTTACCATAACAAAATATCCAAAATTGGGTAATATATAAAGAGTAGAGGTTTATTTAGCTCATGGTTCTGAAGGCTGAGACATCTAAGAGCATAGCACTGGCATCTGCTCAGCCTCTGAGGAGGGCCTTCCTGCTGCATCATAGCGTGGCAAGATAGAGCAAGCGTGCCAGCGAGTGCTGCTGTATAACAATGAGCTACTGATCCGGGGATGGGCTGATCCATCCATGAAGGCACAGCCGCATGACCCAGTCACGTCCAAGGTGTCTCATTTTCAACACCTTGCCCTGGGGACAAAACTTCCAACACGTTGAATTTGGGGAATACATTCACATATGAATTAGAATGTGAGCTCTGTTAGAGGGGGGCTTTTTGTGTATTTTGTTCACTGCTCTACATCTGCTGTCTTTTGTGGTTCTTGGAAATAGTAACACAATCAATACTTGTTGAATGGGTGAATGAATGAATGAATGAATCCAAAGAACATCAGTATTCTAGAACTCAAAACAATTAAATATGATAATATATCATTATTTTGTTTTTATATAACTTTTATTTAACATATTATGCACTTTGTCAATATTTGCATTAAAAATATTTAAAAGCCTTTTAACTTTAATAAAGTTTGGTATACATGTATCAAAATCTCACATGGTATCCTATAAACATGCATAATTTTATGTATCAGTTAAAGATAAATAAAGGAGTTTAGTTACCTAGAAACCTTTTTTATGGAAACACCCATTTCTCACTAAAATGTCAATATAATGTCCTATTATTATATTTACTATTATTATAGTTATTATCCTTACTAAAATTGCGAGGGGACATAAAGAGAAAAAAATAGCAATGAACTAAATATGCCTACAGGAACCTGACCACAACTATAGTAGGCCAAGATCCATAGCTGTCTACTTTCTAGAGGTTATAGATCTACATCCAGACTTAATTCTTTATTTAGAGTAAGGAAAACACTATTGTCTTAGAATTTGCCATGTATTTCTTTTGTTAGCTCACAAGCATACTAAAAAATATGAAGCATTTAAATTTGAGAAAAAAGGGTTATTTCATCTTCAAATTATGAGATTATTAACTTGATTATTAATTTGCTACCAGATTTTTATCCTGACAGATATAAGCTAGTATCCTATGACAGTGTAATTGAGATATAATAGATAATTTTAACCAAATGGCTTTTTCTTGTTATAGAAAGTAAATAAAACATTATCATAATTGGTAGCTGATGTCTATTGTAACTGCAGCAATAACATTAAAATGTGGTGAGCTTAAAATAATCCTGTATGTAGGCAGTGAAAAGAATTTACAGAAATTTCAGGCTGTGGTATGCACAGTGACAGTTTTCTAACACTGTAAGTAAATAACAGTAAAGAATTGTGTTGTTTTGGCCAATATTATATAAATATAGACAAGCCATATTTATATTCAAATAGAACTTTTGCTACCTGTAGTACTTTTTAAACAGAGATAGTTGAAATTTTAAAAAATTATCCAGTAACCCAATTGCAAATGTAGAATCAGAGTTATCCATGAAATTTCCTGAGTTGAACTATTAGAATTCCGAGATTAAGCCCATGTTGGAGGAGAAACTGATTTCATCATCTAATGCTAGAAAAATGTTGGCGGTCAACGGTGCACAAACCTATCCCAGTCCTTAGCTGGATTCTGAGCTGCACCACATCTGGGATGCAGAAATGTCTGAGAAAACAGTTAAATGTGGTTACTGACAAGTGAGATTGAGAGCCCTTCTGAGTCAAGAATTCTTCGTAATGGGAAGTTGGGCTAACAGACCTCACTGCCTAGATGATTCCAAGTTCAATATTAGATTTGTCTCACTTGTAGATTTAAGTTCTCAGCTGAGAATGCAAACAAACATGAAAGGCATGGACTTTGTGACAGTATCAGTGCTTTACACACTCCAACAGCATAAGGTTTCAGAGTATCAGCAGCACACATGAGTGGAACCCAAGGAAGAAAAGATCACTACAGACCAAAGGCCCCTCTTACCAGTGTAACCAGCAAAGGCTGGAGGCATCATTGCTGGTTGAGTGGTCACATATTAAGGGTGTGTAATATTGACCCTGATATAAAGGGGAGAGATAGAGATCCTATACTGCTGGAGAGTGATATTCACCATTAATTAATCCTAACTTGCTATCATTTGTATTTAGAGTTTGTGTGGCCTAGAGGACAGATTTCACACAAAATGAAATTTTTAGTAAATCTTTAATAATAACTAACACTAGGTTAATACCAATTTAGCCTCCTCATAGCTGGTCTACATATCTCACACCCCTTCATTTTGGGAGATTCCTTTCCCTTTTCAAGGATGACTCGGGGAGGGTGTTGTTTCTGGTTTGTTTTATACTGACAATCCTATTCTTTCTGTTGGTAAGAAATCTTCTTGGATTGAATGGTAGATGGGTGAGAGACATTAGAATCTGCAAACCTTTCTACAATTCTTTTACTGACAAGAATAGTCCTAGTTGTAGGGCCACCTCCACACAAAAAGACTGTAAAACTTCCTGGAAGTGATGAATTATTAACTATTTTTTAGAAGTCTAATTCAGGTTACAGTGTTACGAAATTATTCTTTATGGGTTGATTGGCATGTGCACTTAATGAAGAAAACATGACCAACAGAATGGTTTTATCTTCACAAGCATTTATGTGCTGATCTTCCATGAACTTGAAATAAGAAAATTATATATAGCAGATTTGTGCAGATTTTAGTGCCTGTTTATATCTCTTCATCTCTGTGCTAACGGGAGTAATGTATAAAGACCATATTGACAATTAGATCTCTTTGAAGATGACTGGTTTGAAAGGCTTTTAATAACCTGAAGATGCCAGCTGTGATAATGTAAGAAAATGAGTTTACTACATCAATTATATGCTCCTGTGATTTTATGTACTTTCCTTGGATTCCAATGCACTGGACAGATCAAACGTTTATCACTATACACTACCTGTTTACCAATTAAAATCAACTCGTGGACATTCTGGTGTTATATTGCCACCTTCTTATCATCCCTTCTTTCGATTCAGAACTGCATGGGTTACAGCTGCAATCACAGATGAGCTCGTTTACAGCACTGTAACTGCCTCAGTAATTACACGTCAATAATTCAAGTTGGTTGTTTGGGTTTGGACTACCTCTTCCATATTTCAAGATTTTAATGTCAGTGCCTAGGTCACAAATTAATATCCTGGTAAGGTAGATAAAACAAAGTACCAAGAATAGATACTCCTTGTGACATTTACATGCGGAAAGAACAGGCCTCGTCCAAAATGGGGTCCTCCCTCCTCCTCTGCAGTTTGTGCATAGGATATTATTTTCTAGGCCTTACTGTAATTATTATTGCCCAGTGATTTAGATGTGAGAAGTCGCTTTGAGCCATGAGACAGTCTTATGCATATAATGAGAAGCTTTGGGCTTCAGGGCATCTTGGGGCTGTACCCGCAGAGGTGTGTGTGTACTCGGTGCCTGCCGCCGAGGGTGGGCGGTGGCCCGGGCTGGGGATGCCTTTCAGCACCTGATCCTCTAGAGGGCGCTCCATTCTCTAATTGGCACAAAGGCAACGGCGTGCAAGCCACTGCCCTGGCCGCTTTCCCAAGTACGCAAAAGCCCAGTCCTTGCAGCAGCCTCTCACTCCGCTGACAGCAGTGACATCACAGCATTTACCCAACCGAGGCCACCCAGGGTGTACCGAGGCGGTGAGGTGGCGCAGGGCGCCTCCAGCTCCGGCTCCTCTCCCTTGGCGTAGCTGCTCCGGCAGAGGCTCCTCTGCCATCCAGGGTAATCCAGGACCTCGGTGCCGCCGAGAGAACCGGAGTTTTCTTTTGTTTCTCTTCAATCCAGCTGT